AAATTCATATTTTCACTTCGGACAAGACTTCATTCAAGACTTATCCCAGATTTGAAGAAAAGCAAAATATCTGTAAAACCATTTTATTAAAATGTGAAGAAAACAAACTTTTAATTGTTCATCCGATAGATTCGATGGAAAAGTTGTTCAAACTTGAAATGCTATTTTGGTCAACTTGCGAATCGCATTTTCCCAGAAAGTATTCGTACAAATGTTGAAACCTGTTGAGTGTAAAATTCAGATGCAAATGCACATCGATGTAATCGATTCTTTTTTTTTCTTTGATTGCTATTTTTTGCATTTTTTGTACTTTTCGATCGCAAAAGTGAATAAATTGTTGTTAAATTGAATTATAATTGAGCAAAAAGAGTGAAAGTCGAGTAAAGTTAACAATGAAATTAACATATAATGCAATAAATCATTTGTGACAATAAAATGTAGAGAAAGGCAAAGGGAAAGGAAGAAAACAACAAAAGGAAAAAGTCGGGCAAACTTAATATTCTCTTTTCTAGATTCTCAGTTATCCTGAACCATTTCAAATCAATCGGTTATACATTAAATTAAACAATTAAACAAACCAACAGCTTAAGGTGATAAATCATGGACAAGTCGCGTGATAAACAACTAAAATGAAGGAGAACGCAAAGAAGAGACTGAAACAGTAAATGAAAAATGAACACGTTAATGTATACAAAATTAGTTGTATAAGTTGTTAACATCTATTTACATATCAAATTTGATTGTAAGATGATGATGATTATCTTGTTATCCACTTTTTCAGATGCTGATGCGATGTTATATGAAACTTGCAGTTCCATATTTGCAGTTCACAAAAGAGAGAAGAAGATGAAGAAGAGAAAAAAATGAAATTATTAAATGCTGATTTCTCATCATTCCTTTCGTCATGGGATTCAGCAGAAAAAAAGCTCAACTGATTTGCAGTAAAATTTAGCCAAAAATTGCTCTTCATTCCATAATCAAGAGAATGTTTTTTTAATCAAAAGAGAGAAGAGAAAAGCTTTATTCCAATCAACTCATGAAAATAGGAAAAGTATAATTTTCATTTTTACCATTATTTTCATGAGCAACAGCAAAATCATCATGTGCACTGAATCTTGAAGAAAGATGGCAAATTGTGCTTAACAAGCAAACAGTGAATTTTATTCTTGATAATAAGGAAGCAAATAACTTGTCATCAACATGGCTTATTAAGTAAGGTGAAAATTGAGTCAAGTTGAGAGAAGGAAATGTTTGTTGTTTGCATTGCGTCAACTCATCGGCTTTTCAGTTGCAAGATCGAGTAAAAGTTTTGGGCGAAAACGAAGAAAAAAATGCAAAAAAGAAAAGAAGAAGAAAAAGTTTTCAGTTGAACTTGAATCTGAACATATCACTTGAACTAAATGATTGATGAATTGAATTTGGTTGATGATGATTGTTGTTAACCCTGGAAAATGATTGGCGAAAGCAGCCTGAAACATTGAACCTCTTGTTGAACGCGAGGCAAAAAGAGATAATGAAAGAATCATTTTCTTTGCAAACAACAGCAAAGAGCAACAATGAGAAACTTGGATTTTTTGGTTTTCCTCTGCAAATGAAGATTCCAAGAGTAGCCAAAAGTTGCACAAAATTATGGCCTCAAATTGAGTCACGAATTGAATCTTCTGTTAACTTAAATTGTTGCCTTTTTGTTGTTTTAAAAAAAAGAGAAAAAAACAATTTTCCATTTTATCGATATTCTCATTTTTATGTCTATTCCTATTATCATGATGAGCATCATTATTATTGCTCTTGTTATTGCTATTAATACATTAACTTTATTACCTGAATCATTAGGCGAATTATCATTTTCTTGTTCAACAACTCATTTGGATAATATATTCAAATAACATTGTTTCAACTTTGAAAACAAAACGATTATTTCTTTTCTCTTCTTCTTCTTCATTTTCTTGTAAACTGCCCAAAGCGAGTTCCATGCTCAGAGGTTCAGGTCACAACAATTGCTACAATCACTATTAAGGTATGACTCCAAATGTTTTGGACTAATTTTTCAAAATTAAACTGCGACAGTTGGTCTAGACTTACAGGCATCATTTAAACGAAGGAACACCTCTCAAGAACGCTGTTGTGTGAAAAAAAATTTTGATTGAAAATTGTCAAGTTATGCTCTTAAATTGACAAAGGCGTCAAAAACAAAATTTTCTTAAAACCAATCGATTAATTGGACGATATTGAAACACTCATATCTTTCGACCAGCATGAGTTATGAACATGTCAGCAACATTAACTGATCTGAAAAATTTCGCATTCAGAAAATGACCTCCAAATGTCAGTCAGAGGTCAAATAACTAAGTTACTTTGAATGATCTGCAGAGTTCGAACTTATGAATCTTCAATCTGCGGACGCTCATGGTTCAAATCTTAGGTCTGTAGCAACAACTGTCCGTGAGCTATGGCTGTAAACTAAAATGAAAAAGACACCCGGTATATGGTTTTTGAAGTAAGGCAAAATCAGATTTCGACGCCTTTGTTTCCTTAAGGTGATAACTTATTTAACCGTTTTTAATAAATGTCTGATGTCAATCAATTCTGATCTTTTTTATTTTGGAATAATCTATTGAAAGATCGAAGTCCTTTCATAAAGTCTCAATCCTGTCTGATCTCAATCAATTTATTAATAATAGTTTCGATGGTGACCTGAACCTTCTAAAGGCCTATGTTGACTTATATTAGGCGAATTACTTCTTTTTCAACAATTTGGCATTTTTGATGTTTCAAAGCTATGATATTGAAAATATATGGCCTTTGTCCATTTAAGGCCATATCTTGACAATTTTCGACCAAAATTGGTTTATTTTGAACGAAAAATTCACGATAAGTATACTCTCTTTTTGACGTTTGAATGGTGTCTGTAAGTCTAGAGCAACTGTCGCAGTTCAATTTTGAAAAATTAGTCCAAAACATACGGAGTCTCACCTTATAATCAGATTGTATTTCAAGATGCTCAATCTATTGGTTCGAGGGTGGAAACGGAATCAAGGTTGGGTAAGTTGATCATCAATTTATTTGATAATAATTACATGTTAACAATCTCATCGATTATCGATTGATGATATCATATTAGGTTATCAGTTAAAGTTAAACATTGCCAATTAACAGGATACAATGAAAGCAATTATTGAAATTTTCATTTTTCTTTCAAACTTCATTTCTTCTTCTCTCTCAATTGTATTTTAACCAATTGATTTTCATGATAATGTAATCAGGTTAATTAATTACGATTATCGTTACAATTATTACATTTTTCATAGAATTTCAGTTTCTTCTCTTTTACCAACTTTTTTTCTTTCCTTTTCCTTTTCAACCTTTCATTTGGTTTGCATTTTACTCGAGGCATCAAAGGAATCATTAAATTGTAAACTCTCTTCATTCAACCTTTAATCAACAATCAATCAATGATTAATTTAAAACTTGAAGACAGATGAGTTGTCAACCTTTTTCTTTTACCTGAAATTCAAATTGAAAACTCATGAAAACTCGAAAGAATGAGCAACAAGAAAAAAAAACAATTCTTTACAAGCAAAACGCTGACCAATTCATTAGGATTAGTTGAATCAATGAATGGCTAATTACAAATTATCATTAAATGGCAAGAAAAGGTATCAATGAATTGAAAAAAATGGTTAATAAACTTTGAAACTTCACCAAGTTGAGGAATAAAAGCAATTTCAATTTTGAGGAGAAAAAAATTTATCCATAAAAATGTTATTTTCACCAAAAGCATTTCGCTAAAGTACAATGTAATTGAATAAAAACAATTGATATTCATCTTGAAGTTGCCATTGAAAACGGACTGACTTAAGCGCCCAAATTGATGGAGATGATCACGCAACTCAGATCAACTATTGATAATGTAATAATTATAATCTTGTTTCATTTGACGGAAACTGAGCTTAATGATCGTTTCAAATGTTATGCAAAAGAAGAAAGATGAACCTAAAAAAAGAGATTCTTTGTTGGACTCTGTAATTATTAGACTTTGCTGTTAATAATAGCAATTGAAAGTCGTTATGATTGATCAACCTTTAATATCATGCAAGATAATGTAAAGTGAAATGACCGAGCCCTTTAATGATTGAAGCCCTGAAGCACCTACTATTCAATTGTTTCTAATGTTACATGATTGGAAAAAAAGAGAAGAAGAATTTTTGAGTCTAAAAAATAGATTGTATCAAATGAAATGATCAGAAGGGAGTGAAAATTCATCTTCCTATTTATGTTTCATTTCTTTCTCTTTTTACTCATTTTTTGACTTTTATGAGGTAGGCTGAAACAAGATTGATCATTTTTCATTACAATTATTATTATTTTGTTTTTTTTTTGGAAAAATAATTTCTTCTCTTTACAGTTTTTTCCTTTTTCTCTACAAAATTGCTATAATCATGTAAACATTGGTTGAACATGAAATTGCCCTGATTGTTGATAATCATTGTTAATGCCTGCTCATTGTAACGATATCGTAATTTGCCTTTTTTTGGGTTGAATAAAGATTCTGGTTTGGTGAAGGCGAAAGGAGCTTTTCATTTAAAATTCATTACCAATAACTGAATGAAACATAAAAATGAACTTTATCGATGATTGGTTATCAATGGAATATAAATATCACATTAAATTTCATTGAATCAGCGGCATGTGACAATGGTGAAAAGATTGTCAAGAGAAAGCAAATAAACAAGAATCTCAATTTACAATAAATGAAAGGTAAAGTTGAATAAAAAGCATGATGAAAAAGAAAGAGAAGATAAAAGGAAAATCGTGACTAGAGAAGACTAACAAGAGAGAGAAAGAGAGAGAGGGTTATGGTCATTAGAATGATAAGAGAAGAAGAAGAAAAATCGACAGGTAAATGGAAAGGTAAAGATGATAATCAGTGGGGAAGCGTTGTGCGTAACTCGGTAGTCAACTTCTTAGTAGCTTCTCACCTCTCAACTTTCAACTTTTCATTCTCATGATAACCATCATCATCATCATCATTATCATCATGTTGATCAAAGATGGCGCTTCTCTTGAAACCATTCTCATGCTCCTCCTTCCATCGCTTTGCTTCTCCTCTTTTGCCTCTTCTCATCTTCATTCACTATTACACGCTCAACCATCACTTGTTTATTGTTTTTTGTTGTTGATCGTTTCTTCTGCGTTCCCTTTGTGATGTGATATTTGGCGACCCTTTGTTTCTTGTGTGTTATTTTCCTGGGATCCAAAAGTGAAATATTGTTTTCTGATCCGTGATTCAACGCCTGGACATGTCATCTAAACGTAAAAGTTTACCAACCAAAATATCTTACCGAATTAGTTCAAATCCGGAAGCTTGTGATGAGGCTGAAAGTAAATTCATGGAAATATTCAAATGTTACCTAGAAATGAAGGAACTAAATTATCAAAGGACCTTAATGACCACCAGATCGGATCCCGATGTAAGTTTCAGATTCATTCTGCTTTTTGTGTTCAACTCAAGAAGAAAAGAACTTTTTGCTCACCTATAGAACGAATCTTTTTTATTCCCTTTATAGCTCTATATTCCTTAAGATGATTGATCCCGCCTTCTTTTCTCTTCTTCCTTTATTCCGTATACAACATTATATTATAGATATTTCATTTTCTTTCTTCAGTCATCTTCAGTATCATCTTCATCATCTTCTGTGCTTCTTCTCTTCATTACTTGTCATTCTTTTCTTCTCCTTGTTAAGATGATTCCAAAACCAACAGATTGAGAAACAACTTTAGATTAACGATCAACTTGTTATCAGAGGAACAAACGCAACTCAGGCTAATCTGAAGCTTTACAGGATAGCTTTTAATGGACACAATTTTGTTTCCAAAAGGGAACCAGAAAAAGAAAGAAAGCAAGATTGATAAGTTGGATAAGGGAAAAAGTATTAGCAATTGATGTTTACTTATCACAATTTTACATCATTTTGTTTTCCGAATAAGACAAAATGTTTATCATGAAAACAAGAACTTTACTTTCTCTTTAACCTTTAACCCTTCGAATTTTCATCACAATTTTTCGCTGTCATCACTTGAATAGTGAGGTAAAGAGGTGCAAAGAAAAATGAGCTTTAAATGGCGTTTCACCGTTTCTAGATTAACATTGTTTCGAGAGGAAAAATAGAGAAATGATTTGATAACTTGGTCGGAAAAGTATAATAATAGCAATGGTAATAATGATAATAACAGGCAAAACAACAGCAATGTTGGTAGTCCAATCAATCAAAGTAAAGCCAAGAATGAGAGAAGAAAAGGAAGAGAAAGAAGCTTAATATCACTTTGGTGGTTGATGGTGTAAATGGTGTTGATATAAGTGTTAAGCTGTTTCAATTTGAGCTGCTTCATTGATTCCTTGTGAGTAAAACAAGATGATGATGAAGAACGACAAGAGAAGTAAAAAAAGAATGAAAAAAAAAGATTTGTTTCTCTTCTTATTCTCAGCACATTAATTCCACCCTGAAAGTGCATTTTGACGCTTTACCATTTCACACATTTCAAGGGTTCCATAGAACATGATTTTTCCGAATCAAGGCGAATCTCTTTTTTTTCTTCTCCTTAACAAACAAAAAAACGTTTAACCAAAAATTGAAATATATCATGTTGACAATATTAAATTGGTGAGCCAAGAAGAAGAAAAAAAAACTGAAGGAAAAGGCAATTTAATCTACAGATTGTTGAATTTGTTCCTTTGCCTTCGTTGGTTGTTGACTTTTTTTAGGGACATTTTGGACTCGAGTTATTGATTGATCAAAAAAAATAGTTTATTGATTCAAGCGTAAACCATCAGCAAGCTCTACTTGACAGTCAAAAGTTAATTTAACATGTTGCTTGAAAATAGTTTACATAATGATTCTATGTGTTACTCCTTTTACTTTTTTTTTGTTTTCCTCTTTTACTTGAAAACTCATTACTCCTACACTTTTTTTTCATCAACATCATCATGCTCATAATTTTACTTTTCTTGACTTTTTTTTCTTCTTCTTCTCATCTTCTAAGATCATTCCAGTTGTATGCTTTTAAAGTCTCTTTTTCTCTTCATCTTTTTCTCCAATGTTTCAGTTTACTTCCTCATCTTTCATCACTTACCAAATAAATTCATCTCTTTTGCTTATGAACAACTTTTGTGACTCACAAAAGATGAGAAGAATCATTTATCTTCTCTTCCAGATGACTTTCTTGTTAAACTGATCATCATCAGGCAAACATCCTTTCCTCATCAATCGACCTGAGTCAACCCTTCAACATTGATTAAGTTAAACTTTGTTATTGTTTCACTGAGCTTTCTCTCCTTCTTCTTCTTGTTTCTCATTTTACTATCTCGTCTGATTGGATTGATATTCAACTGACATGGAAACCCATTGAGTACAAAATTAGCTGCAACTAATGAGCCGTTGAAAGATCGTGAGTTTGCCTTCTTTTGAAAGAGCAAAGATGATTACTGAATTGATGAGCTTGAAAGTAGCAAGAATTGATGAAAATGGTAAAAGATGAAGATAATGAAGATAAAGAAGAAGCAAAGTTATTTAAAAATTTATAAACAAAATGAGAAAAGGAGTAAAAAAAGCAATTTCAAATTCCTTTAGTAAATGAAAGCTCGAGATTTTTTTTTGTCAACATTATAATTAACAATCCAATTCCCTTGGAAAGTAAATTAACTCAACTTTTGATATTCATGATTGAATAAGTATAATGAATAATCATGACAATAATGTTGATAATAATGGTTAATAAAACATTGATCTAATTACGATGGAGAGAGAGTGAGAGAGAGATAAAAATACGCATCGATTGAAAATCCTCTTGAGAAGTAAATATCTAAATAAAATATTGTATCAATATAATGATGACTGGGAGTGAAACTTGTGATAAGTGAACAAGGCACAAGTAAAGTGTGTAACGTGAGTTAAGTACCCTTGAAGTGAATAAGGTCCGATAACCTTTACAGTTATGATATTTTATTAGTCAATTATTTTTCATTTGGGGTCAATCTTGAATATATGATGAATTTGCAAGGAAAAACAACAAAAAATATGATGCCAATAATGATGAGTTGGTCAGTGAGGTAAAGAGGCGAAGGGTGATTTAGTGAACATCAGAAGAATGTTTTTTTTCTTTCCATTTATATGTTCGAAAAAGACGAACAAGGCCAACAAGATGACGAAGAAAATGTCAATTATGAGAGAAGATTTTACTCTTTTGGGATTATCTTCTTCTTTCCTTCATCTTCATTATCATCTTTAGATGTGTTTTTTATACATTTATATCAAAGCAATATATTCTCAGTGATCATCTCCATCATCATGATAACCTCTTCATCTTCTTTACAACAATTCCATAGAGTATAACTTTCCTTTGTAAGCTTCTTCTTCGCTTTACTTTTCTCTTTTCTCGTGCTTTACTCTAATAACATTTGACCAACAATCAGCATTGATGATGAACAAGATGCAGCCTTTTACCTTTATTCTTGTCATCCATTTTGTCCACATAACCATAACATTGAGTGACCCATCATTGATTCAATTTTCAGTAGAAGAAAACATTTCTCTTTTTCTTTTTTCCCTTTAAATTATTCATTTCTCTTTTCATTCCAATTCTTTTCTTGTTCAGTTGCTTTCATCTTTTTTCATCACTTATTCTCAATCTTTCTGTCATCATCTTTTCAGAACAAATAAATTTCTCATGATTAACCAAGTCAATTGAATTTACTTGATTAACTTTAATTGACTCAATTAGAGAAACAAACGTTTTCTTTACCTTTTTTTTTCTTGTTTGATTAGAAAAACTTTCAGGTTGAACTGAAATTTCAATTTCAATGTTTAGAATCTCAAGTTTCTCTCACCACATTTTCATAATCAACTGTTCCTTTTGTTGAGCTTCTTTCATGTAATCATAAATACTGGGCTTGTTAATTGTAAATTGCATTTAATACGGTAAGGTGAGGCTCGATTTACGCGCAATTTAACTTTAAATTTATTGTAAGAAAAAGAATGGAAAGAAAAAAAGAAAACGAGAAAAGAGTAAAGTTACTTGAATTACCTGTAACCACCACCTATCAACAGTTAGACATGATTGTTAACACACGCAACAACAAATAAACAAGTTATCGGAGTAACAAGAGAAAAGGTAAATTTAAACGAAAAGTTGCTCTCAACTTGATTACGGTTCAACTTGACCAGCAACAAATGGAAGCAACTAAATTAAGATCAATTAACTGTTAACCTTTATTTGATTAAAACTAAAGGTACAAAACAAAAGGGATGAAAGTTGATAATTAAAATTGCTCGATAATCACAAAAGGGAAGAAAAAAAAGGAAAAACTTCTTTTATCTCTTCATCTTTCAATCACTTGATTTGTCTTTAATTGTTTCCAATCGCCTTACAGCTTGAATCAACAATTTCGAAGGGACGAATCAACCAAAAATGGGAAAAAAACTTTTGTCTTTTGTCAAGTCGAACAAAAAAAGGTGCAAAAAGAGTTTTTTCCTTAATGAATATTATCAAATACTATTTCACTTTATTCTTGTTCAATCTAACCTCAAGGCAATTTTGGCGATATTTTACTCTTGATTGTTGCCAGCTATAAATCAATTTGTATGCAAAAGCTGAGCGAAAACGAAGACAACAGAAACTGAAAAAAAAACATTCAAGAACCACTCTTGAATCTTGTTTAGTCTTGAGGTAAGAATTGGAAGACAACAAAATTGTTAATTGTATTAGAAGCTCATTGCATTATTTTACGTTCATTTTCTTGCTTTTACCTCATTGACCTGATTTCATTGAGCTAATATCACTTTTTTTGTTTCTATCTTTCATCTTAATCATTATCATTATTATCATTTTTATTATTATCGCCATCTTCTTGTCTTTAGCGTTTTTTGCGTTCATTCAGTTGACTGATCTTTCTAGGTCAATATAATAAAAAAAAGAAAACAGAAACAGAAACAAAATTATCAATAACATTTTCATTTGCAACTGAACGGAATCAACAAAATGAACAAAACAGTCGAGAAGAAGCTCAAAGTTACCAAAAAAGATTTGCCGAAAAACTTGACAGATTATTGTCTCTCTTCATTTGATTAAATTTAATTAACTTTACCTTTATGTTCATTTTCAATTTTAGGTTATAAGCTCATTACAGCAAAATAAAGAAAAAAAGTAAAAACTCGAAATCAGATTACATTTGTGATTACAATTAATCCTTTAACTTTAAATCAGTTATCAAGTATCAATTTTTAATTATCAATTCAACTTGCTTTTGATTGTGAATTTCATTCAAATTGTTTTTCAAGAAAAGCTCGTAATTTCCTCATGAAATTAGCTTATAAACAAATTGATTACATTTTTCAATGTTGAGTCTCAATATTGGAAAATGTAAAAAAAAGTGAAACGATAATTAAATTGTGCTTCAGAGGAGAAACGTTGACGTTTCAATGGCTGATTACCTGTTTACCTGATTCTGTTGTTTTGTTAATAGTTGAAACGCTTTTTTTTACTGAAACAAGTTTCAATAATTGTTACCGTTGTTGACCAAGCCAGTGAAAACAAAAAGAAGAACGTCAACCTTGAAAAGACCGTTTTCTCTTATCGTCAAGATGAATGATAATTGAGATGGAATTTTCAGAATATTGATTAGCGAAACGATTATTACAAATTGATAACACTTTGATGTCTAATGCCTTTTAGCGTTTTCAGTTCGCTCGCTTTTTCCCCAATCCAACATTCAAGGTCAATTTACATGAGCAACAAAAATCAAGGTAAAACCTGAACAAAAAAGTAAACAGAAAAATTTACACTTTTCGTCCGGAAGTTTACCTTTTTAACAAGATTGGATGCAAATTAATTTGACAGCAAAAAGTTGACTAAATGTTGATTAAAAATGTAAATCCTTTTCCTTGACATTCATGAGAAACAATTGATTAAATTGAATCTTTTCAGCCAACAATTAATCAACTTTTTGTTTTGTTGCAACCTCTTTATTCCAATGGAAAAAGTTAAATTAAAAAACTTGAAAGGGTTACAATAGGCTTCTTTAGGTGGTCCAAGTGTTGCAAGTTGATTAATGAAATTGATTTCTGAATGCAATTCAGTTTCGTGCAGCTTTCTTTTCATGTAGAGTTTGATTTTCTTTTTTTTTCGATTAAATCTTTTCTTCTTGTTTTTTCTCTTCTTTACATGCAACTATTAACTCTTATTTAATTTCATCCTTCATATCGTTCATTAATAGGATAAGGAGATTAGGAAACAAGATCAACTTTTATTAGAGAAACGGCAACAACTTCAAGAGCTCGAGGTAAGTAAACATTTTAAACCTGACAACTCTTTTGTTTTCCCACTTTTGCGTCTCATTTACATTTGATGAAATTCCGAAGCTTAATCAGTTTGTGTCTTCATTGAAGTTGGAAGAAGAAGAAATGAGAAAATGTCAAAAGATAATTTTTCAATCTTCTTGTTTCTGTATTTCATTATTGGGTGAAAAAAAAGTAAAGTTGAATAAATGTTGAACATTATCCTTGGCTAACTGGTATTTTGTGCTTTTTTCTGGGTTAATTGCAAAAAAAAGATGAGCTTATTTGTTTGCAAAAAGTGTGCGCTTCTGTTGGATAAAAGCAGCAAAAAATGTTGACAACGTTATCTGTTTAATTTCATTGCAATATTTCATTATTTCATTTTTGCAACTAAAACAGTTGCTATCGTTAACAAGCAGAACGGCAGAAAGATTGAAACTTGAAGATTAAAAAAAAGACAAAAAGTTACCTTGATGGTCAACATTTTTCAAATAATAAATCTTTGTAACATTTCATGAAAAAAGAAGAAGAAAAAGTTGCCTTTTCAATTCATTTGGATTACCTTTTTTTATTAATTACCTTGCTTTTCGTTTTGCTTCACCATTACAAATGGTTCTAATTAACTGAAAAATTTTCATCATTAACATGAAATTGGATTGATGTTTGATAAAAAGATTTAATCTTGAAAAGAAAAAATGATTTCATAAATATTTCAATTCCATAAATGTTCACTTATTGTAAAAATCACATGATCGGTTAATGTTCATCTTGACATTTGTAAAGAGACATAAAGAATGAAAAAACACTACAAATGTTGGACAAGACGCTAGTCGTAAAAGATGTTCATAAGCCTTTGTCAATCCTGAGTAGCTTCAGTGATCTGTTGGTTTCTTCTGATGTCGTCTTCGCGATCAACTTGATATTGCAATTGTTTCAACTCAACTTCAATAACTTTTGTTGCTCGATTTTTGTTTCAAATTAACATAATTATAAATTGCATTTGGCCAGCAGTTATTTGCAAACTTTTATTAGTCTTTGAGAGACTCATGTGCTTCGATTGAAAGTGAATCTTTTCTGGACACTTTGCTGTTCAATCTCGAATTGTTTCAAACATATACTTTTAGAGTTGAAATCACTTTTGATTGTTTTAATGTCTTTGTCCAAATGTGTCTTTACCGGAAAATGTGAGAGTTGATGATCGAATTTGGATTTTTGGTTCTAAAATTGGATAAAGTTCTTGTTTTCTCGAGTGACCTGAATGTGCTCTTCAACTTGATTTGATTTAAGGTAAATTTGAGGGCAAAGAGGAAAAGGTAGACAGACGAATGGATAAAAGGAAAAAGATGAGGTTATGATGAAGGTGTAATTGATTGCTATCTTATCATCTCTTGATCACTCTCTTAATCTTATGCTAAATTGTCATTGAAAGGAGAGTTGAACCCTTGAGCCATTGAGCCCATCATCCCAATCCCAGGTTAACATTAACTCATTTTTGTTCTATAAACATCAAAAAAAAGATGATTTCTTAACATGATCATCATTATTATTATCATTATTACTATTTTTCTTGCTCTTCTCTATCAATCAAATGGCAATACTCTTCGCTCTCTTTTTTTTGTGTGTTCACGTAAAAGGCAACTCTTCTTTATCATCATCTTCTTCTTCTTCTTCATCTTCTTTTCCAATTTCGTTTCTATTTTGTTTGCTACCTTTCGTTATGACTTAAATTGATTACAATTGCTTCCAAACAAGATATCATTAATTACTCTGAAAATTGAGTGAAATGAGGTTAGATTTAAATAGTTAGCTTGACCTGATCAACTTTCCTCTCTTTTTGTTGTTCTTGGTACAACATTTTATTTCGCTTTCATCTTCATCATTATCATCAAGCTCTTTACCATCATCAAAGAAAGAGAAGAAGAAAAGAAAAGCAAAAATGAACCAAAAGTTTCAACTTTTGCCTTCACCATCAACATCCCTTTTCCACCTCTTATTATAGCTACCGTGTTACAAGGGAGCGTTTAATATCCAAGCAAATACAGGTAGCTACAGATACAAATTCATTGGCAGCCAATTAAGCCACTAACCCAACAAATAGTTAACTTGATTGTAATTTGCCCATTAATTAGCTCCATTTTTTGTTCAGGTTATCTCATTTTCTCTTCTTCTTTTCATTCCAAAGCTACCGGGTTAACAGAATAACAAATCACTTGTTCAGTTAAACTTGTTGCACGCTTTCAGATTTACCTCTTTTCCCTCTCTCTTTCACCTTAATCTCTTTCATTTAACAATTGACAATTCATTTCAAAACGTAATTGGAATCTCATGTCTTTCAAGAGCATCAACATTGTTACCTGGAAAAAAGCATTTAACAAGAAGAAAAAAACTTCTGTAGGTGTGTTTGTTGTTGAAAATGTTTTATCTCTTGAAATGCGCATATTGCAAAGGCGTGAGTGAAAGAGTCAATGGAAAAAGAAAAGAATGAAAAGAGGAATAAATGATGGTAATGATGTTGATGATGATCAGCATCAAAAATGATTAGAAGAGAGAAAAAAAAGGATGAGGAGAAGAAAAAGAAACGTGGAGTGTTAATGATGCCAATAAAATGCTCTCAACATTTCATCTGTTAAAACAGAAGCTAATTATTTTGATGATTGGGAGTGGTTCCTTTCTCTCCTTCAGACAGACTCAATCTCATCCTCTCATCCGTCTTGTTTCAAAGTTTGGGGTCTACAGTGTGGACCATATATTACTCAACTGACAAGGTTATCAGTTTAACCCCATGAGTCTGTATCATGTTTAACTTTGTTTATTTTGCATCTCTTCGTAACTAAGAATAAAGATGAAGATGATGAACATTGGGAGACACCAGACAGGGAATAATGTTGAAACAGAATCTAGAGAAGCTTTTTCTATCACTTTGCCTTCTTCAATATTCAAGGAAGTAAAATGTCAGTTTAAAAGTCTTTGGGAATAAAATGCAAGTAAGAAAAAAAAAGTAAAATGTTTACATTCATCTGTACACATTTATTGATGATAATTATTCCCTTTTTTACGCACTTTTTTTTATCTTTTTTTTCTTCTTTGCCTTCCCTTTACATCTTCCTCATGCTTAAATTGCTCTCGTTTCAATTCTGATTCCTGCTGTTGTAAAAGTTGCAATTGTTTTGATTGGAAAATGAATTTAAAACCAATTTTCTGCACATTGAAGGTTGATTAGTTAATGATTTTTTTCATCATCAAGAGAAATGGCATGGTAAAGAGAAACGATAAAAGTTGCAAATGAAAAGAATTGATTATTGACATTTACATTTCCATTAGCAAAATTGTCACGTTAATTGAGTAAAGTAAGCAACATTAATTGCATTTGGTAGCAATGACTATTCAACAATTGCACTCAAACATTGCATGTGCTATTAGGCTAATCGGGCTGAGACTTTTTATTTTCCAACATTCTCTTCGTTTCTGATACATTTTATCCAAAATCATTCGTTGCATTAAACAATCATTGCTCTTTGTCTCTTTGCATGAGATGCAGATGTGTCAAGAGTTTTTTGCTTTCAAAGTGTTCATTTTGTCGTTGCTCATGATTCAAGGGAAGTGTGATGAAGATTGACAAAAAAGTTTTCGAATTTTTGCTTTTTCTTCTGAAAATTTTATGCTCGGAAAAAGTTTCAAGTTTAGAGTCGGTAGATGCGAAAAAGAGTGATTTTCTAAAACAATAAAATATCAAAGGTAGCGACGTCTAAGTACATCAAGTCATTTTGCCAAATCACAGTTAACCAAACTAGAAAAGACAGATTTGTCATCGCAATATTGTTGTCTATTAGAGCTCGGATTCATCAAGTAACTTGTCTTCAAATCCCTTTTGCCCATTCTTAGTTCATGATTTGCCAATTCAAAGAGATTAATAATTTTTTTCGATTTTTTCATTCGCCCTTTTCTGGACTCATTTAGCCCTTTATGTGTCTTCCATTTTTCGATGGAAGAGGATTTCCATTTGCAAATAGTTCACCTTCAGGCCCGGCGCATACAATGTTACAATCATCATCATCGTCATCAACTTCACCTTCATCCTTGTCAACAACCGCTACACCAAGCACACTTGCCGGTTCATCTTCATCTCCATTACATCACAACCATTCTCACCATCACCACCAACACCAACCACAGCAGCAGCAGCAACAACAGCAAAACCAACAGCAACACCAATCACAAAATGAAACAAATTCAACTCTAATCACACCAACAACAACAACAACAACCACAACAGGCTCATGTTCATCACCAAGCATCCACGGAATATCATTAAACTCTCGCTCCTCCCCCTGTTCACCCTCACCAGTCACATCAATCCTATCCTCTTTATCCTCATCAAATTGCAACAATAGCATCTCATCTCACCCAACCCACCATCATCAACCCACTCACCTCACTGATTCACCAAGTCCAACAAACTTTCCCAGAGGACCTTTACCCTTAACAGGTAATGGTTTAAAAATAATGAATCCCAATAGTCCAACGTCTAATGCCAACCACACCAACAACAACACCAACAACAGTTCACGATCAAGTCCAATGAACATAAAAACTGAAACCTCTAACGGTGCCAATGGAAGTATCAATAACAGTGTAATTAACAGTTCAACCAGTGGAGTTGGTAGCATCTCGGGTATCAATATAACTTCACACAACAACAGCCTTGGTGCATCATCTTCCTTTTCATCTTCATCCTCATCTTCTTCCTCTTCATCCTCCTCATCATCATCCTCATCCACCGGAAGTATACTCCCAATCAATGGTGATCAACCTTTGAACATGAAGCGAAACTCTTATTCAGAAAATAATCGACCAAATGTAAGTAAAAGAGAAAAGAAAAATGAATCTTTTTTTTTCCTCGGATTAATTTTCATCTCAAACTCATTTATTATCTTTCATCAACATCTTTATTCACAACATTTTCCAAGGCAAAAGATAGCCTCTTCTCAGCTCAAAGTGTCAACGAACAGTAGGAATGAGAAAAGGGCGAAAACTGTTTCCTAAAACTATTAATTATATCGAAATTTATATTTGTCTTGACGACAATAACATTGAATTATTATCATCATCAATTGCATGATCATTATCATTATCATGATGGCATCAAGTTATCAATAGATTTTGGCCTTTTCATACAAAAGAGGAGAAGAAGAAAAAAAAGGAGAGCGAATATATTAGCATATTATTACATTATTATGATTATCATTAAATACCATTATTAACATGATTAACATTAAAGGCTCAAGAATTGTTCATTTTCAAGTTTCTTCTCCTTCTCCTTTTCTTCTGATACTTGTCTGGTTACGCCAAATTGAACGCAAGATTGAAAAGAAAGCAAAGAAGAAAAAAAAATGTAATGATAATGATAATGTTAACGATAATATAATGTTATATTGATAATGATAATAATAATGATAATGCTATTGATAAATGTTAATATGCATAAAAGGCTAAAGTGAACGTAACGTTTACCATTCAATTGAACAACGATAATGATGAACAGTAAAACCTTTTGTCACTTGTTTCACTTCTGGTTTTGCGCATCAAAAGACACTCCTTGTTTCTCCTCATTTGTGGTTGAACTAGTTGGAAACGTTAACAGAATCACATTTTCAATGTTAACTTTTCTTTCCTTTTTAAACTCGTCAACGAAAATAGTCTGTCTTGGAATCTCTACCTTTTCTACCTTTTTTTATTCATATTCACCATTTTATTATCATTATTAGTCTCTTGCTGTTATCGTCTTAAAAAACACATAACATTCATGAGGAAATTAATGGGTAAAAAATTGTAATTACAGATAATGTTGCTCAAGGCAAAGTTTTACCTTTTATCTTACTTTTTCGTCTTTATTTCGTTGGGTGATAAAGACAGCAAGATGGACCAACTAGGGATAAGAAAGAAAAGTAAAAATTATTAATTTTTCTTGGTCATCATCTTTTTTCATCTTCCTCTTCCTTTACTCCTTCATTCTCTCTATCTCTCTCTTGGCATCGACTATTAAACAAAAGATGTTGTCAGGCGAAAGTTAATCTTGTAACAGTTTTACTTGACTCTCGACTAACACGTAACATTGAATCAAGGGAATAGCCATTAGATGATGGTGATAAAGATGATTGTATAAGAAGACAATTAAAGGTCTATTATGTTTTTAGTGATAATGATGATTCTCTTGTTGCTCACCAAAAATCCCCTCAAGACAAATTATCTTGATGATTCCCTATTATGATATCGAAAGAATTTAAGGTGGGATATGCAGAGTAAAAGGTACAATAGAATAGCAAAGTGTCCTTGAGGCTAAAGTCGATCGTAAAATAATAGGGTCTCTCTCTCTTCATCTATTAGAAGATGATGATAATATGATGATCAAAAACAAAAAGAGAGAAAAGAAGAAAATGATGACAAAGAAAGAGGAAGCTAGAGGCAAAATTTTCTTCTGAAATCATCTTCACCATCAACATGAACATCATCATCATCATCTCCGTTGTTGTCGGACAACAACGAATATCAAAATAAATATAAAAAAAATGCTCTGATTCTGGGTGCGGCTCAACAGGTAGAGACTCAACAAAATATGCAACCATAATTATGGTTGCAACTTGGTTGTTATGTTGACTGTTTGTTTGCGATGTTATTATTAGTTTTGTTTTCTTTTTATTATCATCATCATTATCATTATTATTATCATTACTATTATTTTTCAGTGTTTGCGTTGTAAGGAGGAACCAGTGTCAATCTTAATTGTCTATCAAGAACATGGGCAACAAGAGAAAAGGCAAAGGCACGCAATTGCCTTCTTTTTTGTTTCTCTCTGCTTCTCTTTGTTATCAATTGTTGATACAAATTGCTACCGACCTCATCTTTTGGTTAGGCATCATTATTACACGGAATCATTGATTAGTGAATAATCTTGAAACTAAATATGCTAAGAGAAGCTGAGAAATGTCTTAAACATCTCTTGCCACGTTTGATGGTATGCGGTTGCCTAAATGGTTACCTGGTAAAAGGATGCTCATCATTATTTTGGCTACATTTTTGGCTTGTCTAACCTTTTCTCAAGGGAAAGGCTTGAAAAATGTAGAGAAATTGTTTTTGCTGCTTCAGATTACTTGATGTGCTTTACATGTTTAATGTACTCTTGTTGACATTTTACCTTGAGGCTGGAAGAAGATCAAATGCAAATTGATTTCATTATTGGTATTATTATGCTTGCAATAATGATTATTATTATCGATACAGAAATGAAGAAGAAGATGAGAAAATGTAAATTTCAATTCATTTGCAAAAATGGATAGAATTCTTGACAAGAGCTTTTCTCTTTTCTCTCTTGCAACATGCAAGTCATTTGACAGGTTTCAGTTTTGGCTTCAACTTTTTTTGCTTTGAATTGTTTCATTTCCACATTTTTTTACCTGGTACAAAATGCAAACAGATAATCATGTAAAAATGCAAAAGAGAAAAAAAGTTTATTCTATTATCATGATCCTGTCCTGCTGATTGTTACTTATAGTCTTCATGATAATCATTTTCTTCAACTTTTGCCTTTTTTTCTGTGATGAATGATTTTCTTCTTGTCGACCTGAATGTTTAGTTGAGCTTGAAACGAAACTTTTGATAACTTTGATGATAAAAAACTGTAAAGAGGCAAAATTCATTTTCTTTTATCTTTTTCTTCTTCTTCTTTCGTTTTACTTGCAACCTTTATAACATTTTTTTTTACCTTGAAGGTTGAAAGATGAGAGCCAAGAAAATGTAAACTTTGCAAATCTGGAGAAAAGTTGTTTTCTAATAATAAAAGTATGTTTCTTTTCAAACCGATAATTCACTTCTCACTTCTTATATCGTTAATTGGTTGAGATGGCAATTGTTTCTGGATGATTTATTTTGCTTGATTAATTAGTTTGAGAAGAGAGAGAAAGAGAGAAAAGTACAATCTTTGAAAGCGATTCAGAATCTGAATAATCGCATTTCAATCTTTTTCTTTCTGAAACAAAACAAGAGCTAAAAAATATTGCAGATTGGCTCAATGTTTGTTTGTTGACTGCATTTGCTCACTCTAATTATATTGACGTAAATTAACAGTTTTACCAAGAAAGTTGTTCAATTCTGAACACGAATTGATGGTAATTTATGATTGATTGGCGAACCAGGAAAAAGAAAGAAAACAAATTATTGCAAAGATAAAATTTTTACACAAGTGCTAAGAATTGGGTGAAATAAGTGTGTGTGTGTGTGTTTCCATGAGAATAGCAAGAGTTGAAGACTGTTATATGAATTATCTGAATTTGTAGAATTGGCTCAAGTTATTAATGGAAATGCTAATAATAATAAGTTGAACTTAAAAAAAAGAGTTTCTTTCTTTATGGAACATGCAAAATGATAATTATGGTTAAGTATGATTCCAGACTTGACAGACTCATAACAATGACAAATTATTAATAATAATTTTCAAGATGCGCAGTTAGTGACAAAAGTGTCAAGGATTAAGAAAATAATGATGTACAGCATGAGAGAAGAAATTCTTGTCTTTACCAGACTCTAGAATCTGCATCGACCATGAGCAAAGCTAGAACTATAACAGACTTTGGAATGAAATTTAAATGGAAAAGAATGAGTACAAAAAAATGTTTTCCTTTTGAGTTAGGAGTTGAGACTTTGTCTGGAACTGAAAAACTGAGTCCACTAGTGCTATTGAAAAATTTCTATGATCGACATTTTTCGAGAAAATCGAGAGCAAATTTTAAAATTCGATCGGCTTTTGTACAGCTGAGCAGATTTTTTCATCAGAATCATTTTTTTCTGATGAAACATAAGTTTACAATGGGCGATATTGAGATAATAGATCACTCAAGACCCTCAATGAAAGTTATAGCATTGTATTACTTATGCTGTCAGATTTGATACTTTTTTATCAAGGTTACTCAACACACAAATGATATGTTATGATATTCATTATTGCATGCATTAGCTCAGATTTTCTTAGCTATTCAGTCACATTATGTTATAGCCCATAATGAAATCTAATGTTTGGTCAAAGAATGATGATTGATGGTGATGCCATTCTCGAAATAATGAGTCGCAAAGTTTTTAGGCTAATGGCCAAAATCAAGACAACTATTGATAAATTGCAAAAAAAGTTTTCGACCAACCATGTGCACCAAACATTTTTACCGACGAAAAATGAAGTTCAATCTCTAACTCTTACAGTCACAGAATGCGCCACTTTGACCTCGATTTTCTCGACAACTGTCGATTGCAGAAATTTCGGCACTCAGTTTTCATGCCTTTGCAAACCCACAAAGTGCCAACTCTTGACTCAAAGAAAAATGATTTTGGCGTTACTCCGTTCGTCTCATCATTTCATAGAGATGCAACTTGCAATAGATTTTGCTTTTGAAGAGGAATAACTGGAAAAATTTGCTCTGTTTTGATGAAGAAAAGCATCTTTTTTCTTCTTGTTCAACTTGTCCTTTTTAACTCTCGCTGGATAATCTCATCATCATTTGCTTCTGAGGCCTAGAAGATTATGCTCCAGGCAATGCTTTTCATCTTGTTGTTGCAAGGGAAAACAAAGTAAAAAGAAGAAGCCAAAGACATTTTAAATTATCAGTTACCTTGCCTTTTCCATCCCAAGGTAACTTTGATTATCTTTTTTTTTGTTTTAAAAATCATTTTACTTTTTCACTTTAATGTTGTGTTAAAATATTGTGAAAAGATTGTCACATTGCCTGGTAACAGAATAAAGATGAGAAATGAAATGCAATACAATTTTTGCCTGGAAAAAACTATTGAACAGAAGAAAAAAGGGAAAAATTGTTGTTCATTATCATTTTCCTCTTTATTAATCATCTCAAGCTGACCAGAAATGAAGCCTCAGAAAATGATTAATAATGATAATTTATAATTGTATTTTGTCTGGAAAAAGAGAGAGAAAAAGAGAGAAGAAAGTTGAAGAAAAGGAACATTTTCTGATATTGAATAATTCACTGAAAGTGTGATAAAAAAGGCAGAGAAAATGATTGACACAATCAAAGGAAAATCGCTTTTCTCTCTCTTTAACCTTCGCTCAACCATCTATTAGCCTTTTCTGTTTTCCCTGAAAATTGATTTTAATACTTGAGATTAACTTGCGTTCAGCAAACAACAACAGCTCAACAGGATAACTTAAAATATCAAAATGCTATTAAATGAACTTCTTTTCTCTTGTTATTCTTAACTTGTTGAATGGCAAAAACAAACTTTGACACTATTTTTTGTATAACTTTTTATACTCTTTATGACGAGCTTGTCAACCGCATGTGTCCATTTCATTGACCTATGGCTTTTAAATGGTTTTAAATATACTTGAATGCGTGAGGTAACCACACACAAAGATTATTTTGTCATGTTCGTTTGGTTACATGGAACAAGCTTATTTGTTATCCAACTTGATTGATAATAATTGTTCAATCATTTCTGCTTATTACTATTCGATTGGAGATTATTTTTGCTTCTTTCATTCTCACCACATCAAGAATTATCGAGAATGAAAAATGTCAACACAACACTGATGAGCAAGCAAGAAAGTTAAAAGTTGACATTCAAGGTTTCTTCAAAGTCCAACACCTTTGTTTGTGTTTGCACCAAAAAGCTTGACTTTTATTCAAATATGGCAACTCAATTCAAACAAATTGACAAACAATATTTTCCAAAAGCGAAAAGTTTTGCTCGCAAAATTGGCCGCAAATCAAATTGAAAAACTAATATCAAAAATCCTTCTAGCTAAAAGATTTTAATTTGAGCGCAAAGATTGCAGTTTAAGAAAGTTTCAGATGAAAGCATTTGCGATTGCAATGGAAATCTCGAATAATAATTTTCGCTCAAAATGTCTTTGTCCTGCAAATCGATAAGTAGCTAAAATAGACTTGTGCTTCATCAATAACTAATGGATAAGTTGAGACAAAAGATGGAAAAGAAAAGAATGTAAATTGAATGATTTATCACAACTGAAGAAGAAAATGTTCAAAGTGATCAAGACAAAGAATTTCAAGTTTTCGAATGCAATTTTTTCTTGAAAATTTACTTTTCCAGTTGCAATTCAATTGTCCAATTTTAGATTCTTCATCTTTATGCAAATGTAATTTTTTTGCTCAACTTCATTTACTTTTACTTTTCCTTGAAACAAATTAGCATCTTTACTCGTAACAATTAAAGTTTTCAACGAGTTTCTTGAAGCGTTTAATGAGTAAAAGTTGTCTATAATTGATTGTGATAGTTACCTGTTTACAAAAGGCGGAGTTAACTGTTTCTTTACACTTTCATAGAAGGTTAATTTCGATTCAAACAATGGCGTGAGTCAAAAAAATACAGGAAAACTTTTCTGTTGCGCAGCATCAACTGATTATCCTTGAGATTAGGCGCAATTCTGGGCAATGTTTTGTTCTTCTCTTTTTTACGCCACAATGAGCAGAATGGAAAACAAAAGGGAAAAGAGAGAAAAGATTATTCCTGTTGTAGGAGGAGATGAACAAGAACAAGTTATCATTTGATTCTTCTCTTATAGGTAAAGGTGGAGCAAAAGGGAAAGACAAGTTTGAAGGCGGTTTTCATTCAACATTGTCTTGTAGGTGGCATTTGGTAATGATTATAAAATGATTACTTTGAATGTTGAAGTCAAGTTGTTGATGTTAATTTAATTAGAGTGAAAAACAATCATTAGATGAAAATCTGTAATTGTTTCCAATTACAATAGGAATGAGGAAAAGGCATGGAAAGGCAAGAATGCGCAAGAATGGCAAGAAACAAAAGAAGTCGAGAAATGAGGGAAAAAAAGTTAATCATGGGAAATGAAAGGTTTGCCTTCTCACGCAATGTAAAAATATCAACTTTACCTTTTGTTTTTATTATTATCATTATTTAGTTAGCAAATTATTCTTGTTATTGCTTCTGCTGATGGTTAACCATTGCGTGTACAGATAATTGCATTTTCATTGCTTCCAAATCTCATCTCTTTACCTTTACCCAAAACCTTGTAAATAGTGTTTGCCTTTTTTTACCTTTTGTTTACTCAAATGGCCTTTAATCAACTTTGAGAAGTAGCTTTATCTCATCCATTAATAAATAGTTGAATCAAGTGAATCATTTGATTACCATTACTGCCTTTAATATCATTATTGTTATCATTATTATTACCATCAATTATTCAGAGTGACACTGATTAAGGATGACACAAAATGCCTTTTATCTTGGCTTTTCATCTTGGCCTCTCTCTCTCTCTCTCTTGACCATTTTTCTTAGTTTTGACCCTACTTGAGTTAATGCAATTGAAGAGGGAAATGGTGAAAATTCATTGTTAATTGCAACAATTAACATTATCTTAATCATTTTACCTGTTAACCTTTTTCGACTCTCAATGAGATTCACCTTTTGTCACTTAATGACAGTTGCCAAATTGAATCAACATTCAAAGTTAATTGTCTCTAATTTACAGTGAAATTAGTTACGACAAAAAACCACAAATTGTTGGTGTTAACAGCGGAAGTTTAACCACAATTTAATAGTTAATTTACTTTGCTTCACAAAAGGAAAGGAAAAGTTTTTTTTAAACTTGGTTTCACTTTGGGCTTTGAGTTTTTTAGCGTTTGAGATGAATGATGAAAATTGAAATTAAAAGTTTTCTAATGGACTTTTCTCGTTTGCATATTTTCAGAGTTTAACCATTAATTGTGATCAACGTTTCTCATCACCAAAGTTGGACGAAGTAAGCAATAATTTTATCCTGAAAAGTGATGATGATGATGAGGATGATGGACCCTTGAATCTGAGTAAACCCAGATCGGATGAGAAACCCAGTTTCAGGTAATGAAGTTTGAAATGTTTATATTAGAGAATTGCACCTTTTCCATGAAATTGAATCAATTTAAATATTGAACCTATTAATAGTTAATTAAATGTTTTGTGTTGTTGGTTCAAAAAACAGGAAATCTTATCTTGGTTCAACTTCACGTTCACCTCCAGTCAATTTAGTATCGAATGCTTCACATTCACTGTTGAACTCAGCATCAAGTCCACCTTATGGATCATCACCAATGTCAGTACAAGCAGCAGCAGCCGCAGCAGTGGCCATGAACAACTCTTTATCTGTACATAATTTTAATCACACCCTTCAAGAGGATGCTTCCGTGCCAAAATCATTACCGGTACCAAGTTCATTGTTGTCAGGTAAATCACCGTTGGCTGGTTTACCCAATGGCTTGAATCCTTGGTCAGTTGGACCTTTAATGCCAAATTTTGGTCTTTATGGGTCACTTCCATTTCCTCCATATCGAAGTCATGGTTCATCTTCAGGAACTGCATCTGGAGGTAATGGTTCATCTGGGACAGGAAATGGTTCCAATTCAACCGATAACAATAGATCTGAATCAAATTCAGGTTCCAACATTGGAGGAATGAATTCTCAAGATCATTCTCCCATGTCTACCTGTGACAAACCATTCCCATTTGGAATGTTTCCAGGAGCACTTGATCATGCAACTGCAGCAGCAGCAGCCGCAGCAGCGGCAGCGGCGGCAGCTGCAGCTTCAGGATCCACTGGAAGTAACAATTGCAATGCCAATAGCGGTGCCAATAACAATGCAGGCAATGGATCTTCAAATGGACCTGCAAGTGGCGGAGGATCAACCGGGAATCAGGGTAAAGTATTCGCACTTATTAGAGCAAACAAAAACAACAGTCAATAACAATCAAATTATTAAACTGAATAATGGCCAAATAAGATCATTCAGATGATTTCATTTCTAATAATTCACTGATCGCAAGTGATCAACAGTCGAATCAAGAAAATCATAAATTCAAGCTTACATGTAATTACCGAGCAAAAAATTATTATTATATTATTAGCTAATTGCTCAAATTGATAGTTATTAAAATAAATTATGACGATTGCTGAGATTTTTATGATGATCAATTGATTGAATTGAAATACTTTAATGACCATGAAATTAGGAAATTGAAATTCTGCATTCGTTTGGTCAATAAAGCTTTTCCATGAGTTCGTGATCAAGATTTGTCCATTATCTAGTTGTATTACCTAATGAATTAGAAAATGAGAAAAAGAAAAATGTTTTGATTATAAGTTAATCTACGATAAACTTCTTCTTCAAATCACTTTATTCCGATTCAATTGTGATTACCTTTTTATCCATTTTTTCAATTTTCTCAATTTCTAAATTGCGGCTGTCGCTTCCGTTATTCACTGATTATGTTTTTGTCAAATGTTTATTTTTTAAATTGATTGGATTTTCATTGTGCATTAGATAAACTTTTAGGTGCCAAGATAATACGACAAACCAAAAAAGAATCCGAAGGAAGGCCGCACATTAAAAGGCCGATGAATGCCTTCATGGTTTGGGCGAAAGACGAGAGGCGAAAAATTTTGAAAGCTTGTCCGGATATGCACAATTCCAATATTTCAAAAATTCTTGGTAAGAAAAAAAAATTTCCTTCTCCAATTTATTTGTTTAAACCAAAGACTAAACATTATTTTCCAATGAAAAAAAGGTGCTCGATGGAAAGCAATGCCAAATGCTGAGAAGCAACGTTATTACGAGGAACAATCGCGCTTAAGTAAACAGCACATGGAAAAGTATCCAGACTACAGATATAGACCTCGTCCTAAACGAACCTGTATAGTTGATGGTAAAAAACTAAAGATAAGTGAATATAAGCAATTAATGAGGCAAAAACGGGAGGAAATGCGCAATTTATGGTAAGTTTCCATTCATTTGGGCAAAGACAAATGTTTACCTTGATTTTGTTCACTTTGGACCAACATTGATGGAACCCAATAAAAGGTGAAAAAACAAAACATGAACCCATGAAAGGTGTACAGCAAAAGAGGATAAAACAATATTGAACAACATTCTCAATGGCAAATCTAGAAAAGACTTTTTTCTCTTTACCTTTAATTCCATCCTATTTTTTTCTACCTTAAACTACATTAACGGAAAATTTATTTCTTCGTTTCTCCATTACTGAACACTTAGGAGAAAAGAAGTTTCAAGAAGAAGAAGAAGAAAAAAAAGAGATTCAGAATTTGTAAGGTGAAGAAGGAATAAAAAGGAAATAAGTGACATGGAAAAAACACACAGAAAGAAATGTCCATTGAAATGTGACAAATGAAAATAGAAAAAAAAGATAACCTGAAGAAGAAAATAACATGATAACCTGTAGACTGGGAGTTTTTCTTCTTTTCTCCATTTTCCTTTACCAATCCATTTTCTCTGATAAACAAGAAAAGCAAAAAATTCACCATCAATGATGATAGACCATCAACATTCCATGTTGTCCTAACCTTTTTCTTCTCTTTTCATCATCGTTAGCTTTTCCTCAAATTTGGGTCCATTTTTTTCTTCTCTCTCTCCCCTTCTCTTTGCTTACAAATCATTGAATCAGAAGAAGAAGAAGAAGAAAAAGTTATCTAATAATATTTCTTTTCTCATCCAACAAAATCAAATTATCAATTTAATCTTAAAGATGAATTAGTTTTTTCATTTCTTTTCCCGTTCCCTTGATTTGCCATTGAGCAGCAAACATCATTAGTTGACTTGTTTGCTTCATGCTGTTGATCATTATCAATGAAAATGTTACAATAAATGTTGCGATACAAAAGAAAAGGAAAACAAAATCAAAGTAAACATGATATTAATAGCAATTGAATGATTGAAATACTGATCTAAATTTTTCTCTTCTCTTCCCTTCATCTTTTCCTCCTCGTTTTCCTTCTCACTCCTCAACTATAATGATGAAAACTATTTACCCTGTTAAACCCCTTCAACAATAATCAACTATCATTTTCAAGGTATAGCGGAGGCAATAGCGTATCAACATCATTTCCATCTGGTTCATCTCGATCTCCATCAGGCTTTATTCAACCTGGTTTCTCTCATACCGACATTAGCTCAGGTGATGATGATGATGACGACGACATTACTGGCGATGATTATTCCCATGCCATGGAAACGTCGCCAAAAGCAAGTTCAGGAGAGGAAATGTCACCCTGTCGAGACGGTTGAACCTTCGACTGCAAAAAATTTGGGGAAAACAAAAGTTCGATAAAAAAACTCTGTTGTTCTTGCGATTGTTGTTTCATGTTTCAATCTAATCAAGACAATCTCACACTTTACAGTTGAATAAACATTATTATTAAAAAATAGATAATTATTATTAAGAAAAAATTGTAATTATAAATTTATTATAAAAAAATCGTCTCTTTTGCCGTGCGTTTGTCTTTGTGTTACAATACTAAAAGCGCAAAATTGAAACAACAATCCAAACAACTTGAAAAGCCAAAACTAAACGTTTCCAATCATTTTTCATTGAAAGATTCCTCAACTTCATATTCATCTTCACCTTTACCCAATGAGCAACTAAATCAATTGGCATATTAACCTCGCAACTCTGCACACACTTTTGTAACATTGCTTTAGATTTTAAAATTGACTTCAATTGTCACCAAAAGTATCTGAGTGAATATTTGTTGGCGAAAAAAAAAGTTCGTCTTTTAATGTTCGTCTTTTCTCAAACCTTTTTTTCGTCTCCTTTGCGCTCTTATGTTGACGAGACGCTTTTTGACTCAAACTCAAGTCCTTAAATGTTTTATTGCCGTTATGTGGTTCATCATCCCTGGAACCATCTTTTAATCATCATCTTCCTTCTCAAGTCACTCAAGTTTTTTTTGAACAACAAGAACAAGAAAATAAGCTGAAAACCTCATTATGTTCTCATCATCACCATTAACCATAGAGAATCACCATGAAAGAATAATGAACACAAAGGCACATTAAAACACACAACACACACAGACAACCTCAACTTTCATCTTATGTAAATATTTTTCATCATCTTTCATAAACAAAAAGCATGACACATTAAATAATGTTTCTTTCAACATTTTTTGTCTTTTCCCACTTTATTCATAAACAACAGACAAAAAAACTCACAATTTCAAGCTTTTGATGAGTGAAATTCAAAGATAATCACTTGAGAGAAACAGCAAAATATTAATAACTTACATGAAATATCATTTAGCTTCTCCGGCCTTTACCTTATTGAGGTAAAAAAAAGCATTGAAATGAGCCAAAAGCTGACTCACAATTAATTAACTAAATTGACATTTTCCCCCATTCAAGTTGAGCCCACCAAAGTTCACAATAATTCATCTTGCTTATTATCAACTTTTCTCGTTTTTTTTTCTTCTTTTCTCATCTCAGTTGATGAAAGATTCAAGGATAAATGGAAATGGCAAAAGAGTCAAGTTTTCTTCTTCTTCTTTTATTGAAAGGTTCATTCTTGAAAGAGTTTCTGGTCAACATGGAAATGCCATTGAAATTGATAGTGATGAATTTGTCCCTGTTAAAGGCTGAAAATGAAATGAGAAAAAAATTTATGTAAAAATGATAAGAATTATTTCTTTTCTTATCTTCAGTTTTCTTCTTCTTTTTTTCCTGCAAAGAGGATCAAAATACCAAGTGTCACATTTATCAGTAAAACAGGATCACGTTAATTGTGGTTTAAGTTTGAACGTTGTGACTTGGCTAATGCACATTATAATGCATCCCAACCTTTAAAGTGATATTTAGATAAATTACCAAGATTTTGTACCAGTTTCTGTATTTTTACAGAAGAGATGAGAGAAGAAGAAGAAATGTGAAGAGAAGAGCAGCAAAAAAAATCCTCTTGTTTCGTGCATCTTTTTCCTTTCTTTTTGCATCTTCATCTTGATCATCTTTTGCATTTTTGGTTAACAATTCACGTGACTATTAATACATTTTATAGCTTCTAATAACCGTGGGAAGCTGGCAATAAGCAAAAGGTGCTCATCAATGATCAGCTATTCAATTAAGTTCATTTCATCTTCGAGCTGATCATGATCATCATTTACATTCATCCTTTGTTCACTCCCTTTCATCGTTCAATTGCAAAACTGGTCAGGGAAAAGTTTGACTTCTTTTGATTGATTTTCTCGTGATTATTGTTACAATTACTATTATTTCAATTCTTTAATGAGTTTAATTTGAATATAATTAAAAACTTGTTAAACACGAATTGGGTTTAAATTTAAAATGCAAAAAAAGAAGTTCAATAAATTCCGATTTTGAAATGTTTCATCAGCATTTTCCAATTCATGTGACTCGTTTAAACTCCGTCTAAAGCCAAAAAGCTAACGAACTATTGATATATCGTTTTCGGATAACTCAAAGTATCAGCTCATTCGAATTTTTTATTCGAACATTTTCATGCTTCGATTTACTTGCAAAGCTATTCTTTGAGTAACTTCTGAACCTTTCACGTGTTCTGTCGAAGTTTAAAATCGATTCTTTTCTCTGTTTGGATCGAAATTGACATTTTGTGGAAATCATGATTCAACGACTCTCTGCATTGAACTTTGAAAGTTCATTGCATGTCAATTATAATAGTTAATCCGGAATGCTAGTGAAGTAATTGAAAGATTTTGTAGAAAAGTTTCATTTTGCAAATTCAATGAGTTTTTCATTCTTCAATTTTCTTGTTAAATGTGTTCTACCAATGAGACCTAAGAACTGAACTAATTTTTGATCTGAATTTGAATGTTAAAGGTTTAATTATCGAGGAAATGAGCTTGTATGATATCCAAACTGAAAACACCCAACTTGTTCAATCCATAAAAGTTTCTCAACAAAATTGTATAACTGTATGAATAATAACTAATGAATAACTAATTAATGTCAACAGTCGTAAATTGTTCAACACAGTTTCGTTGTTTACCAAAACAAACGTGTAGTTGATTCAATTCGTATTCTTAGCTGAGCTTATCCATTTTGTAACATTTGGCTCATGAAAACCCACGAAATTGAGCATAATTCAGATAGAATTTTCTTTTTTAAGTAAATGAAATGTTTTTCACTAACAGCAGTTGACGGACTTCATAGACTTTAATCTGTTATTCATTCAATTGGCTTTCCATTTGTTCCACTTCTTGACGCAAATGGCATCGGATCAACAACATTGTGACCTTATCGATAAAGCTACACAAAACATTCAGATATTCAGCTTCTTTTTAAAACTGAAATTGCAATTCCAAATGAACGATCAACACATACGACTGAAATTTCACTTTAGTCAATTCGATCGATGTGGTCAGTTCAATGGAAGTTTCTTCAAGAAAAAGTTTGAAGCTACTTTCGATTTATAGAAGCAAAAATTGTTCTGCAGAATAGGAAGTGATTCTGTCTCTGAATCTGATGTGTTATCTTTTTCAAGTTCTTTTGTTGGCTGAAAGCGCCTGTAACAGACTCTTATTATTGAAGCACAAATTGAATCTCTTATCAACAGTTTCCCTGAAAAGAGAAGAAAGAATGAAAAGTGAAAAAAGAGATCGGAAAAGGCCTCAAGGTGATATTATTCATTTTAGATAATCAAGTTTCTTCTATTCATCCCTCTCTCTCTGTCCAGTTACAAGTGTGAAAAGTCCAGAAAATAGAGTAAAAATGGAATGGTGAAAAAGGTTGGAAAAGAAGGCGAAGAAAAATGGAAGAATGTCATCAAAATAAATTGTTGATACAATGTTGAAGAATCAAAGTGTCGCGTGACTGATGAAACCAATTGGACTAAGTTTCATTCTTTGATTCAACACTTGTTTGTCTTTTTGCGTTCTTTTGTTTACGTCTTTTCAATTCATCTTCTTATATGTTTAAATCAATCCTCTTTTTGCTTCTTTTTTTCACCATTTCTTTTATTCTTTGCATTCTTTCAGCTCAACATTTTCCTTACGTTTTTAGCTTCTTCTTCTTCTTTTTTTAGCTATTAACTTTTTTCTTTCCACCTCAATGGGTGAATAGAAGACAAAATAGATGAGGATAAATTGTAATCAAGTGACAATGAGAATAGGTAACAAAGCTTTATGATGCGAGTAAAGACGGGAAGAAGAAGAGGAAGAAGAAGAGAAGAAACTGAATCAACTGAATTATCATGAAAAGGAAGCTAACAATGAGTGGACAAAGGACAGTAAATCAATTCAATTGACTATCTGTTGGAATATTTATTTGTCAATACTTTATTTGGTTCAATTGACAAAACAAGATAAGATTATTCAATTTGTTTGTCCATCTATCATCCAAAATCACATTTCAATGATTAAATTCACACTAAACAGTTTTCGATTCGAGCAAGATTCTTTCCTCTTTTATTCCTATTAACTGCTATTAATCTGGACCATTGTCTACGAGGCGCCTTCTTAACCCACCGGGAATCATGTTGATAGTCAAAAATAGCTGTAAATTGAAATTTAAATATAGAAACTATTATTTAATAAATCCTATTATAAGACTGTTTTTTTTGTGTGTTGTCTCTTTGTGAATATGGAAGGAGAGAGAAAAAAAAAGATTCCTAGAGTCCAAGTTTTTACAATATTAGTCTTTATTCATCAAATATAAGATTCAAAGGATGACACTTAATAGTCGAGGAAACAATATATTGACATTTATTTGCCATTCAATTCGGACAATACAATCACTTCAATTGAATTTATCACTGGATGCACTGCAGCTCAAGATGAACCTCTTTAGCCTTTAAGTTCAAGTAATGTTACATAACTGTTGACCAAACCTTAAAATACCATTTACTTTGCTTCAAATCTCAATCATCTTTAATGCTTAACAAGCCGTCCTTCGATCATCGACTCATCGACATTTTTTCACTCAGCACAATGCATTCAATCCACATTTAAAAGGCTCAAATTATTAATGAACTAACCATGTCAAAAAGAAGAAAATAGGGTTCTACAACTGAACAAAGTACAATCGAAGTTTTGAAAGTCATTTTATCAAAAAGCGTCGATCAGAGAAAATGCCAAGTTGCACAGTTCGTCCCTGTCTCCGAAGTCTATCAGGTTGTAACTCGAAAGTCAGAGTTTTACTCTTATTAATCATCCAGCAATAAACATTAACGTCATCAAAGCTAACAAACTTTTTCCTTTTTTACATTGCTTTAGAGTTCTGTTTTTTCCTCCATCCTGTTAGAACATGGTTTTCACATGAATTCCGATAAAGCTTAGTCTTTTGTTATCGCTGTAGTCAAATGATGCGTAAAATATCTTTTAGAACTCTTTCCGATCAGCCACAATTCGAACACGAAAATTTCACTCCCTATAACATGTTGACTTTTGAACAAAATTTTCAGAAAAGAATCCGTTACAAACGATAAGATTTCATCTTCGGCACAATCTTCATAACGCTAGAAAATTTGTCCAAAACAATTCTTTTCAAACTATCCAAAAAGATTATCAGAATTAGTGAAGTTTCTGAGTTTTAGTTTCATATAGTTGAACGTATCGGTTTGGACTTACAATATTGTTGGAGTTTTCACTTTGAAATTATGCTTTTGGATTCTACTGCAAATGAAATGAAAGGCCTTTTGGCCAAAATTTTTAAAAGTCGATGGACTTTGTAATTCACTGTAAATGTAATATTTTATCGCTTTTTAATGTTCAATTGTAATGTGATCCAAAATACGCTTTTTAGGCATTTTTACAAAAAGTAAAAAAAGTTAACCAGCTTTTGGTCAAATCATTATTTCCAGTTTTACTTGAAAACTTGATATGGAAAGCATTTTATGGAGAAAACATTTTTAGGTAAAACATTAGAAATGCTTTGATTTGATAAAGGGTGTCAAATTTAATTTGAAAACACGTTTTTTTGTTTACAATTTTATTCTTCATCTTCACCTTTGTTGCTGTTTTGATTCAATTATCTGTGCTTATCCATTTTTACTTATATTAAAATGATACTAAACTCGACCACAGTTTGCATGCAATTGAATTTGACACCGGTTTAAATGAAAATTAAAAACTGGTCAGTTGTCTTGAATAAACCCAATAATGGCATTAATAATGAAATTAATGTTTTACCACAAAA